TAGCGCGGTGCGCGATCAATCAAAATGAGCAATATATTCCTAGTTTTTAATGACTTCCATGTTATTCGGCGCGCATTCGTTGTATGTGATCTTAATAATTTATGCTCTAATCTGCTGTTCACTGTCATGTTTTACTATTCTCACAGCAAATACGATTGTTATGTGGCTTTGTTACGCTGTTATTGTACCTGCCAATAGCTTTTGTTCTTTTATTAATGTATATCTTTGGTCAGCCTCGTTTCCAATTATTAGTTATGTTTATTGTTCGTTTCACCTGCAGAGCTTCGCTGTCTACCTACACAGGAAAAGATAGTCCTGACCAGTCCTCTGGCAAGTCGTCTCAGCCCACCTCCCAAGAACATCAGGACTGCAAACGACGCTGTTTGCGGCCTAACTCACCTGGGCATCAACAGCCGTCACAAAACTCGACTGTGGTTGCTTCCTCAAATGAACCGCCAGACTTGGCTATCTACTCAATGACATATCCGACCGCAGGCGGCGGGAATGTCCACATCACCTATTCCAGTGAACCCCCAATACCCAATGCCTCGACTATTCGGTCGCGAAAATCAACCAGTGCCAGTATTCAAAAGGCTCGTCACCCTAGTGCTCCAGTCCCCTCGAGTATTAGCGGCCCGCGTGATGTTGCATCGGCCTCACGCACTGTCCGTTTTGCTGGTGCGCACACAGGCCAAGTGGACGCTTGCTTGACAATCAATTCCGTTTTTCCTACTACGACTACTACTACAGCTGTCCAGAAGCGCCACTCGACTGGTTCACGTCGATCAAACAAGTAGTATTGATCGGACGACACATCGGGATTACTGTTGCACAACATAACCCCGATTTCCTTTTGAAACCTTCACGATTGCCTTGTTTAGCCAGGTCAGGTATTTTGTAAATATCTTTGTTTGATTGTGAGCGTTTACGAATGCTTGTAATTGAGATTCGGATGTCTTCTGTGACATCCTTCAGGCTGTTATCTTTGTTCCATAGAAATAACAAAAAACGAATAGATCAAAACTTATTATTTTTTGGTTGCCTCCACTCACTGTCCATATGTGAACTACATACCTGTCTTACGATTTCATTTTTATTATTTTGGCTTTGCCAAAACCGAAATCATATTCACTGTTCTTAATGGCCTTAATGCCACAAGTGATCCTCCTAACACCATGCAACCGTTCAGTTTACGCGCAATCATCAGGCGTTTTCTGCGCTTGCATGTATTCTTTCCTCCATGATCTACTCGCCTCACGGTGGAATGTTTTCTAGCCGACTGTACATAGTTCCACTCATACCCGTTTTTCCTCCCTCGCCTCAATCTCAGTCCTCTCCAGTACATACACCTAAACTCCGGTTCGGAAATGCAATCCCACAGCGTCTCGTTACGTGATCTTCTTTCCTCGTCTCTCCCTCATTCAACCGCCTGAGCTGTTACTCTCGTTTCCTTGTGTCTTGCTTGAGTCAATCGGCCTTCTGTTGCCAACTCTTTATGTGATTTGGTTCAAGTCTGATTGTATTCCGCGGATACGCGTCAGTGAAAATTCTTAAACGGGGCTAGACATCATTGCAGTGATGACCAGTTGAATGTGAGCAGTGTAATGATCCTAGCCTACGAGATAACGCCAACCACAGTGCGGCGCGTTACAATTTTGGGGCAACGAAACCACAGGTCAGTGGTGCCAACTAATCAGAATCCATGCAGTTCAAACGGAAGCTGTAATACGTCAAGAATACAAGCAGGCTTTTGGGGAAGGTCTGCTCAACCAGTGATCTTCCTTTATATCTATTACTTAATCCCATTGGTTTTCTTCAATAAACGAACCGCTTCTTCTGTGGCCTTTTTCATACGCCTCGGTATTCCAGCTCCCTATTGGTGGTGCAGTTCTCTGCTTCAGTTTCGACCATAATTCATGATCCGTATCTATTTCGATTTCTACAAGTAGTCCGGATCGCATGACTGTTCAAATTTCTCGATCCCATTGGTAATTCTGCATGAATCTTGGATACAGTAAGCAAACCACTACTAGTAAACACTATATTCAAACAGTATTTTCAGAGCAGTTCCCAACAGGTCGCATAAAAAAGTCAATTTTTATCTCAGTCACTCCTGCTTCTTTGTAGATCAGTCAAAAAGGTGACCAAAACTTGATAGTTGCCGCACAAGTCAGCTTGATTCAGGAGACGTGACAGTTTGAGTTGCAGTAATTTCCCCTAATCTCTTACGGAGTGATACGACAGGATAACAGGAAATTGCATAGTGACAAACAGAAATAAGTCTATAGGTGTGAGTAATCAAATAGTCAAGTGCAATTTCTTCATGAAGTAGAAGAGTCAAATCTACCCATGATTGAGCGTTGTGATGAGTTTGACATTCACAGTGAATAATGTGGATCAACAAAATATATGCTCCTAAATAGAGGTGAAAATATCCATTTGTCCAATGATAAGTAGAAGACGAAAAATTTTTACTGGATTTGGCTGTAGTTTTCGATTTTGTTGGTAGAAAAATTTGGGTTACATTGAATTAGATGGAGGAAAGAATGACCATCCCGTGGGAGGATGATAGCCTAGTAGACGATTGCACCAATTACTTGGAGTTCAGATCTTAAACTAACGGAATTCAATTAATTTGGAGGATAATAGATATTTCACAGAGCTATCGAGAATACTTGTCATAAATTTACCGGGCAAAATAGTGGTCCACTAATTAGAAATCTCATCAAAAGCACTCGTGAGATAATATGTGAATCGAATCCACATATATGTTAGTGGTTCAATCGGAAAGCATCGGAAAACCATCAGTTTTTATTTAACCAGCCAACCTTTGTGCAAAACACGTGGCTTTCCAATGAACAAACATAGCGTTTTTAAATGACGCGGATTTTCTGACGAACGTGACAAACGGGTTGATTTTTGGAGATCACTTTTCCTCCCAGTTTGTCTCCTGCAGCACTTTGAGATGTTTTACACGCTAAAGCAACGGTCAATGTGTACTATTTCGTGAAATCTGAAGTCCTGGTTTTATTAAAGAAAGTTGTTTGAAAATTGTATAGTGTAATAACCAACATCCTGATGATGGTTGAATAATGATCTTTGAACTTCAAAACTCCAAAAAAGATAGAGAAAGAGATTGGAAGTGCACGTGGCTTATTTAAAAGATAGATCAATATAATGATTGAAATGTGGATGAAATCTTATTGAGCACAGTTCGGCCACTTAATCTCAAGTAGTATTTGACTGCAAATTGTTTGCAGTTGGCTCTATCAGATATGGAACAAAGCAATATTAACATCAAATTTGTTCACATTAAAAGAAATATAAATATATATCGGGATGCTCGTCGCGAAAATAAAAATAAGTGTTTCCACTTCTTTTTTACTGCTGTACCTCAAAACAGACAGTTTCTCGAGTAGCTGTGCTTCGTGTTGTTGACTATTGTTTACCACTTGTTTGATGATTGAAAACTTCATCGATGACCCTATTCGTTATCACAAGTTCTACCGATTTGGAGCTATTTCTCTTTATGAGAGAAGACCGCATAGGGACATAGATTGTTAAACTCCGAAGCTTCACTGACCCCTTTATCGCTTGTCCAGTGTCCTCCTCCTGGATACCAGTGGAACACACTGATGTTTGTCTATTCCCTGTGCGATAATCTGCGTCGATTTAGTACATAGTTTTAGGTGCGATGAAGTTGCAAAANTTGCAAAACATCAAAAAGAGTGGTAAAGGGATTGATTCGGTTCCTCAAGAACAAGAAAAACGTGAATTGAAAAGCTAGGGCACGCTGTACAGCTAGTTTGACCTTGTCAGATTTGCAAATTCATCGACACAACTGAGGATCCGGAACCACCGAATAGTCTCACGACGAGGACGAGTACCACCCATGAACTAATCTGTGTATGAACGTTACACGTTTTCCGTAATTTGCCAGTTTCCCATAAAATCCTCTAAGTAGGTTACCGTTAAGATCTGCAAAATATGAAGTATCTAAAAGGATATTGTTACTGGNTGTTACTGGTAATTTTGTTAGGATGTTACGCGATTTCGCTTTTTCTCCCAACCAATTCACTGCAACTGCGATAGTTTGCGTTTGTATCCTAATTCCCCTTCTGATCAATGCTCTGTGCAAGCCCAGAGAAAATGCATGGCAATCATTTGGAACGTGTTTGACTAACCAACTCGTCAACTGTACTTCTGGTAGCTGATCTTTCTGGTCTCTTGTCAAAGTAGGTTCTTTACATTTTTACCTTTCGTCCCTTACCCCAATTTAGAATACTGAAGGAGATATGCTTCTAAATCCCTCTTCAAAATGCTTACGATTTTGACTCTATTTTTTTTCTTTTCATTTCACTACTGTCCCTTTATCCACTACCCTCCACCGTTCGGCATTTTTTCCCGAAAGACCAATCAGCAGTGCTTTCATTAGATACGTCTAAGTCATCCAGCCTAGATGATATCCTGCCAAATAGGGTTGCGATATGTGCACAAAAGGTTGTACCTATCCTCCATTTAATTTTCTCCGAATCTCTTTCCCAAGGGGTGTTTTTGCCAGTTATTGGTGAATTGTTCGCATCTTTCTCAAATCTGGATGAGGTGCATCTTGACATCTTAAAAGTTACCACTCCATCTGATGTGCTAGGATATGCTTTGAAACTTGCCATACCATTGTGAACAAACGTTTCATTGACAAACGTGTCACAATGAAGTGCAATACAATTTATAGAAACAATCCGTTCACGACCGAAACATGATACCTTGGTGATGTGTGTTGTTATTATCATTGGGATGATTCTCCAAGGTGATTCAGATGACCAAGTTTGCTTGGTTATTTGTTGTACGCCTGTCCACAGTTGTTCGGTGCTTCCGCATCGAGTATCCCCGTTTCTACTGTTTCTTTTAATGCAAACGTCAAACACTTGCAATAAACTGAGAAAGAGCAGGCGTTCACATCGAGACAGATTCGCATTAGTACAAGGCATATTATTACACTATTTGAAGACTGGCAGGTCTTGGTCTTGGAAGTCCGTTACAAAACGTGAATTGTTGATTGCAGTGGCCGAAAAAATAAAGCGCCGAAATATTTAACAAGCACCCATCATAACAATAATCACTAGATCAGAAAAAATGGAGTTGCAATTTTCATTTTTGGGGATAGATCAAATTTAGCGTCCACTGGAGAGGATTAAAAGCCATACCTGTAGAAAGCACTGAAGCAAAGAAGGGATACTTTTGATAGAAAAACCTTTATCCCCGTTTGGTCAGATAGTTTGCATCATATTTAGCATGAGAAGGAAAGAAGAAAATGTAGTTGATGGACAATTTGAAAACCAAGGATCTGTCGTGGTTTGGAAAGAATTTTCTGCAGTTAATCAAATTTTGATGAAAATCGGGTACGGTAACCAAAACAAAGAATTGACTTGTACGAAAGCTCATGAAAGTTGTTATTGGACATACATGAAAACGAACGTGGGTAGAATAACATATTTTCAACTTGCTGATCCCTGTATACACGGGCCATACACTACTATATATATCGTTTATATCGAAAATGGGTTAATTGAAAATGAATGACAATAGTTGAACAGTCTGTGTAATTTTAAGCTACTTAAAGATAATTCCCTTCATAATATCCCCTTGAAGCTTAGGTGGGTGCTAACTACGCCTCTCAATTTTTCTGCATTATGTTCTAAGCTGGCTGATGCAAACAAAGCCATCCAACTGAATCAGATAATAATTATCAAGGATATAATAATATTGATAATAATTCAGATAATTATCGCTAACTACG